CATGTCACAGATGGGATCGATTCCCCACAGGCTCAGAGGCAGGGCAACACCACTCACAGGAGCTGGGCAGTGCCTCATATAGGGCTGGCCCTCGGTCTTCTGCTCAGGAGACCCGTTGCTGGGCTTGGAGGGTGGAAACAGCAAGCTTGAGGAGCAAGGGGATAAAAATGAGAGGATGATGATAATAAGAAGAATTCTTGCAGAGCGCCTAATCACGGCACCTCAAAGCGCGTCACGGATATATTGTAAAGTGAATTGGCTGTGTACTTTCTGGGTGAAACGCAGAAGCCAATTGCACATGTAAATTTTTTCAGCAAGATTATTACACCCCAGGACAGCGATCCGCCAATCGACTAACAACCGGGTTTCTGCTTACTGCTAGGAAACAGAGGTGCGTGTGTGGAGCAAGGAAACTTGCCTAAGGTTTCGCCCCGTCGGGGAATCAAATCCAGGTCCTCTCAATGTGAGGCGAGTGCTCTAACCACCAAACTACAGGACCCCATCTAGTTGTTACAGAGCGTGGAGTTGTGTGATGTTTTTACCTTGCATTGTCGCTGAGTTATGATGGGTCCCAGTTGGGTGTTTTACATTGAAGCATCCAGTGGTATCCTCAGTGAGAAGCCCGGCTCCCCACAATAGATCATGTTAACTGCACTTTAATGCATCGTTACTGCATTGTAATTACAACGCTGTTAAACACTCATTCATGATCCATTTGCAAATGCATTGCCATCAATACCTATCCCTGTTTTATTTACTCAGCAAGCGAGTGCAACTAGTCATTATGTTCAGCACACATGCATAACAATATCATAAAAATAATAATCCTTGCATTTGATATAGCCACTTATCACTTTGAGACATCTCAAAGAATATACCGTAAGGTGAATTGACTGTATATTGTGTGAGCGAAATGCGTCAGCCAATTGCATACAGCAGTGTTGCACAAACAGTTGATTGAATAACCATATTTTTTTCTATATACACATAGATATACACATACAGTATATAAGTACACAGTAAACCTGTCTGCAAATACACAGTCACTCCACAGTAAAGTCCTGTGAAGCGCTTTGAGATGCCACAATGACAGGATAAAGTGCTATATCAAATGCAGAGATTATTATTATAACAACAACAAAATTGCATTTTTATAGTGCCATTAATGTTAGTAGGACATCCCAAAGCATTGGACAATGAGGGTTTTGCACCCGAGCTGGGGGTTGGGATCAGAGGGGTGAACGGCAGGGAGGGTGGCGGTAGGAGGGTGACCGAAGGCACGGTGGAAAAGGAAGGTCTTGAGATAGGCCTTGAAGGAGGCAAGGGAGGGGTGAGGTGGAGAGATTCTGGGATGGAGTTCCAGAGGTGGTAACCTAACAACTGGGAAGTGCTGATCTGTAAGAACCCAGGGTCTGAATTTTACAGACAAAAACACTATATTACAACAGGGTCTGACTGCACATACACAGACACAAGTACAGTAAACTGATAACTCGACCATTCTGCGGGGGAATGTTGACCAGACAGTCAATATCCCGGCCGCATTTATGCACATGCCTAATTCGCAACACTGGATAACTAAGCACTGAGCCCTTTTCCCTAGGGGTGACGGGTTATCAGAAGTTCACTATATATAATACATAAAAATCTATCTCCCTCCCTCTCTGCCTTTTAACGGTCAGTTAAACCTGTTGTTTAGGGTTTCTTTGCCAAATAGATACTGGATGGTTAATTATCTTATGTAAAGAAGATAATTAATCATCCAACAGGACCAGTCTGGACGCTCTTCCTTTGTTTATTAAACTAGCTGAGCGTGTACGATCATAATTGCGCCAGAATAGAAGAACTTGTATTTTATAGCGCTCTTCCACATTGAATCAATCACCTTAAAGTGTTTCACAGGTGATTAGTGATTTTGCCAGTGCAGCTATTTGCATACGGTAATGTCCCAAAAACGACCACGAGGTGAATGACCAATTTTTCTGGAAGATTGTTGACCAGTGCAGTCAAAGAAACTCCCCTATCTTTTCCAGGAATCCATCTGGAGAACAGGCAGATTGGACCTCAGTTTAATGTCCATCTCTAGCCTGCTCCGTGTCCCCTGCCTTGCCCACCCTACCACTGGTGGTTGGGCCTTCAGCCTCTCTGCCACCACCCTCTGGAACTCCATCCACAAGTCACTTCACCTAGCTCCTTCCTTTGCCTCCTTCAAGGCACATCTCAAGACCTTCCTCGTCAACCTTGCCTTTGTTCACCCTCCTACTCCCTGCCTTTCACCCCTCCTGATCCCAACCCCCAGTTCGGGTGCAAATCCTTGACTGTCCAGTGCTTCGGGACATCCTCCCGACGTGAAAGGCGCTGTGTTATTGTAATTTTTTGTCATTGTCTCATTTGACGGACAGTACTTCCGTACTGCCAGTAATTGCAGCCGGGCTGTGTGAGCCAGATTTATGGCAAAAGACTTGAGAGAAGGGTTTATTTATGCAGCAGGCTTCCCCTTCTCAAGGCTCGGCTACGATCAAAATCAAAAGCACGTACAGGCCGGCGAGAGATGGCAACCGCCAGGCTTTCCTGCACGTCTGGCGTGCAATAAAGAGGAGATGTACTGATCCCCGCAGACCAGGCACAGATGTACCTTGCCGATCCATCAGCAAAAATGTGCCGGAAGATTAGCAGATCAGTGCTTATTGAGGCCGGCTCATTAATCAGCCGAAGCTGCTCAGTGCTTGCAAATGCTTGGTGGGGAATCTGAGAGGTGCTGAAGAAACAGCTTGGTGGGAGAGAACTTTGGGATCCCAGCCCGCACTCCGGCCTCGCTGTATCGAAAGTAAATCACTCCTTGTGGCTGAGTGATCGAATTTTACAGCTCAGAATCAGAGGCCATACGGTCCATTTCTTCAGATCGAGGGATGTGAGAAGGCGTGGAATTGTGCTTACCCCAGAATAATAACAGTGTTGTTAATCATAACCCTTACATTTGATACAGCGGCTTTCACGATGGGAGGATGTCTCAAAGCAGGCGATTTACTGCCAGCAACAACAACAACAACCACCACCAATGACATTTACACAGCCTTTTCACGTCAGATAGATGTACATAAGCACTGGACAGTCAAGGATATGCACCTGAGCTGGTGGTTGGGATCAGGAGAGGGTGGAGGACAGGGTGGGGAGGGGTAGGAGAGTGACCGAACAAGGGGGAATTGAGGACATTTGATTGAGATGAAGCAGACAACGTCGAAAATTTGCGACACCCCCTCCCCCCCTCCCTCTCTCTCACTCTCCTTCCTAAAGTGGTATGGAACTTAATACTCCAACTATGTAATCAATAATGTATACAAGCAAAATATCTGAAGGCTTGAAACCACAGAACCATAGAAATTTACAGCATTTACAGAAGAGATGAGACCTGAAATTCCACTTGAACTCACACTGTTGTCAGTTAAGATTGCGCAGAAATGTATATCTTAATCTGCAGGAAACTGGTTTCCAAATTAAGTCTGAATTTAAGAGTCCTTCCAAATTTTCGCGTGATCATCAATTTTGAGACGATCGAGAGGATCTTACGGTTGAGACCGAGTGGAATTTCAGGCATGCGGTGTCTAACAGTGAGTGATCTAAGCACTCGTATGAGGTTTATTGACCACAAAAGCAGAGTCTTGCTTTCAGCTCCAGCCCAACACCCCAATGATGAATAGCCTTGTCTGTCATGGCGAGAACAAGTCGATAGCAAACTCACAAGGGGTTGAATTTTATTAACAACCAACAAGCAAAACACTGTACCAATTATATACTTGATTTTTCCCCAGTCTGGTTTTTGGTCTCTTGCCCAAACATATTGATGCCAATGTCCCCTCATTACCACAATGCAATACAAATGACATTTACACAGCGCTTTTCACGTCGGGAGGACGTCCCAAGGGGCTGGACAGTCAGGGATTTGGACCCGAGCTGGGGGTCAGGATCGGGGAGAGTGGAGGGCAAGGAGGGTAGGAGGGTGGCCGAAGGAACGGTCGAAGAGAAGGGGTTTGAGACGTGGGAGGGGTCATGGCAAAGGGAATTTTGGGTGGAGTTCCATGGGGTGAGGGCAGAAAGGCTGACGACCCGGCTGTCGATGGTGGAGCGGGCTAAGCAGGGTACATGGACCAGGCAATGTCTGCTGAGCGTAGGGAGTGTACAGGTTGATATGGGGTCAGCAGGTTACAGAGGTAGGGAGATGCAAGGCCGTGGAAGGCCTTGAAGGGAAGGATTTTGAACTCTATCCTCTGGAGGATGGGGAGCCAGTGGAGCCGGGCAAGGGTTTGGGTGATGGGGTCATGGAGCTGGTGTATCATTAACACACAGAGCGGGGCTGAGATCAGTAACATACAGGCAGTGTTTCCTCTCCGCCCTCTGAAACTCCATCCCACATTCCCTTTGCCTCGCTCCCTCCCTTGCCTCCTTCAGGTCACTCCTCAAGACACTCCTCTTCGCCCACGCCTTCAGCCACCCTCTCTGCCCTCCACCGTCCCTGATCCCAACCTATCTTCCCCCGCGCCCCCCCCCCCCGCTCAGTTCCTAATCCCTAATCCCTGACTGTTCAGCGCCTTGGGAGGTCCTCCCGACATGAAAGCCGCTTTCTAAATGTAATCTTGTATTGTATACAGCGCCTGTTCGCGTCTTTGAGACGTCTCCAAGCGCTTCACAGAAGATACTGTAAAGTGAATTGACTGTATATTTTGTGGGCGAAACGCAGCAGCCAATTGTGCACAGCAGCGTCCCACACACGGTCGTGGCCTGAGTGACCACACAATTTTTTTATGATATTAGCCCCAGAAAGGCGATCTGCCAATCGACTGACAACTGGGTTCCTACTTACTGTAGGCATGCGTGTGGAGTAAGGAAACTTGCCTAAGGTTTTGCACCGCCCGGGGAAAGGCGAGTGCTACAACCAATGCACTATAAGACTCGATTCATGGGGAAAGGAAGGAGTAACTGAGAGATTCCGGGTGTTTTCGCAGATTCCTGAGCTCTTCTCCAGCTTCGAAGAAAACCCGCTAGGGGCCGCCTCCTTGGCTCAAGTCCACAAGGCAGTGCTACATGATGGGAGGACGGTGGCGGTCAAGGTTCAACATCCAAAAGTACAGGGTCAGAGTGAAAAGGACATCATGGTGATGGAGGTGAGGAAAACAAGTTTTGCTTCAGAAGATAGACTTTTTTTTAATAGGTTCTTTTTTGCATTGAAACTTCTCAAAGCGCTTCGCAACAATAACTGGTGTTGCGACCAGCGACCACACAAGGGCCCACACACAATATGATACGCCTTTCATGACAGGAGCACGGGGGGGATGAGGGGGAATGTTTTTACGCAGCGAGATGTTACGCTCTGGAAGGCACTGCCTGAAAGGCTGGTGGAAACAGATTCAATAATAACTTTCAAAAGGTCATTAGATGGGTACTTGAAAAGAAAAAGGTTGCAGGGCTTTGAGGTAAAAGCAGGTGAGTGGTACTGGTTGGATAGTTCTTTCAAAGAGCCGATTCGGGCACAATGGACTGAATGGCCTCCTGTACTGCAGGATTCCATGATTCTATGAGGAGGATGTCCCAAAGTGCTTGACGATTGTGTCTGGGCCCTGGAGCTGAGGTGGATGGGGTGGTGGGTGGGTGAAGGGGGGAAACATGGCTTAAAGTGCGGTCCCAAAGAGATACTTTTTGAGGTGAACCTTGAAATGGGGTGGGGGGGGAGCAAGTGTGAGGGACCTGAAGTGAATGATATTTTTTCCTGAGGGTCGTCGACCTCCGGGCTGATTGTAGGGCCTTGTTCTTTGCAAAATGGCTGCCGCATTGAACGGTGGGTACAAAAGACACCGAGAACCGTAAAGCCTTTTGAAGTCACTTTGACGTCGTCGGCGCAATAACAGTGCGAGATTGTTGCATCAGAGCCTGATGATTAATAGGGGGAAACGTCCTGAACATATTTTGGTGAGCAAACATGTATGTGCTTGTACACGAGTCAATTAGCAGAGCAAGCAGATGGGGGGATGTTAATTGGAGTAACCCCGAACAAATTCACTTTGCACGATGCACAAGATGGAATGAACTGTCTTAATTGCTTTCCGATGCCTCATGCCAACTGCTCCTGTCATCTACTTTCAGCCCAAGGATTTTGGGTGGCTCGTTTGTAGGTTTTTTTTTGCTTGAAGGTTCGTCTGACGAAGCTCAATCGGGAATTAGGCTTGTGATCCTAACCTCCTGTGAACTGGCCTCAGTACTGCCCTGTAAAGACTGCTGCGTATGAGTCTCAATGGCAGAGCTCAATCAATTAACAACATAATAAATAATAATCCTTGCAATTGATACATTGCCTAATCACGTCTTTGAGACATCTCAAAGCGCTTCACACGATATATTGTAAAGTGAATTGACGGTATAATTTGTGGGTTAAACACGGCGGCCAATTGCGCACAGCAGTGTCCCACAAACAATCGTGAATTGAGTGACCAAAATATATTTTTTTAAGGGATCAGTACCCCCACAAAGCGATCCGCCAATCGACTAAAAACTGAGTTTCTACTTACTGCAAGGTAAGCAGAGGCGTAAGTGTGGAGTAAGGAAATTTGCCTAAGATTTCGGCCCGTCCGGGAATCAAATCCAGGTCCTCTCGCTTTCGAGGCGAGCGCTCTAATCGCTACGCTATGGGGCTCTACAACAAAGCAATACTGGCGCCCCCGGTGGTGTAGTAGGTAAAGGCAACGCCCCGTGTCTTCCGCCTGCCGCCCTTCCCGTTGGCCTTCCCCTCTTCCCAAAGTTACTCTTCCCGAGTGCGATAATTAGCCAGGAATGTCAGGCATGATTATATCATGAGCATAGCAGGCACCGATTGAAAAAGCCAAATTTAATTTGCAGTCATTGAACTGTGTCCTTGGACAGCAGCAGCCCAGATAATTGGGATTTAATACTCCTTACCCTGATTTAATTAATACCGTGTTAGTGGCATAATTACTTACCTCTGATCTCCGTTAAACAAAGAGTTGTAAGTTTGTTATGTACGCGGTAGTAAGTAGTGCGTCCGCCTACTGGTCCTCCAAGAGCATGTCACTTGTCAGCGTAACCAATCAAAACCAGCCTTTACTTTCAAGCGATCTGGGATGTGACCCTGTGTGAAGGCATTATATAAATACAAGTTGTTGTTATACTCATCCTCTCAGTTACATTGCACTGAACGAGAGCATTTTAAGGCTCCATGGTTAGCTACCTACAGGATCCAAAGGATATGGTCTATAGGTAACCATTTACATGATTCATAAGAACTAGGATCCACACGTAACTTTAGGATCCATAATTATAAGATCCAGAGATAACTATTTATACAATACATAGGTAACCAATTACAGATCCAGATATCTACGTGATTTATAAACTTTATAAATAAGGTAACATAACATAACTTTAGGATCCTAATTATAATAATAATAATCCTTGCATTTGATACAGCGCTTTATCATGTCTTTGAGATGTCTCAAAGCGCTTCGTAGAATATACTGTACAGTGGATTGACTGTATATTTTGTGGGCAAAACATACCAGCCAGTTGCGCAGAGCAGTGTTCCACAAACAGTCGTGGATTGAGTGACCAAATTATTACAAGGCCTCTTGTTGATTATCAGAGGAAGCCCTGGTCCTCGATGGATAAAATGAGTGAATAACGCTGGCCCTTAAATCACTGCAGTTATAATTCGATCATTTAGCTTGTTAAGTAAATAGCATTTAGTCTATTCGTTCTGGCCCCCATGTGTGTTGTTCATAGCCTCAGTAGTAGGTAGGAATTAATTAAGTTGTGTTTCACATGTTCAATGCAGTAATGAATCTGTCCTGACTGAAAGTACTTTATTGTGATTATTTTTGAAAATGATTTACCACGGAGCTTATTAATTGTAGTCGAGGTGAATTGTGGGATTCAGTAGGGAAACTAGCAAAAGGAGTCTGCTGGAAACGCACTGGTCTTTTTAACCCATGTTCAGATTTTCAATTGAAAATGATTAAGTTCTGGGTCAGGGGTGAATTTGCAGAAATTATCTATCCTAATAAAGACCAAGTGTCTATGTATGTCTGTGTTTCTGTCAATAACACAAAAAACGATTGACATAGAGACACGATTTATACCTCATCGGAAAGGTCTTTCATGCGGCAGTTTTTTCGGGTTGTCATGGGAGCTACAACCCAACAGGAGTTTTACCAACAGGATTCCTCCCAACCAGGAGTCCTCCCACAGGAGCGCTACCAACAAGAGTCCTCCCACTGAGTCTCCTCACTCAGTCCTTCCCACCCTCCTTCCCGCAGGAGTCCTCCCAATAGCACATTTTCTAAGCAAAAATCAAGACTTTCAAGGACAAGTAAAAATGCCAGACAAAAGAGAGAAGGCCGATTAAATGACACTGAAGAACAAAGAACAGCACGGCGGGACTTCAATGCTGAAAGGACTGCAAGAGCGCGGCAAAATGAGTTGCCTGCTCAAACAACAACACGGCTGGACTTCGACGCAGAAAGCCGTTCAAGGTTTACACACAGTTTCTGGCATATTAAATGGTTTGTGAGTGGTATCACTGAAATCTACGTTCCATATTGGATCGTTTGGTTGCAAGTGTAGCTGTAATTGGTACAAAACACTGTAACCTGTTATTTTATGAAATGTCACATTTATTCCTAAAGATTGGAATCAGGTATGAACCCATTTCACTCCTTCCGTCTCTCTCTCCGTCCTCTCCCCCACAATCACGCCATGACCGGCACTGCCTACCACCACCTCCGCAACATTGTCAGACTCTGCCACTGCCTCACCCCTCAGGCTGCCGAAACCCTGACCCACGCATTCGTCACATCAAGGCTCGATTATGGAAACTCCCTTCTCATCGGCCTTCCCAATTCTTCCCTTCACACGCTGCAGATTATCCAAAACTCTGCAGCTCATGTATTCTTGCGCACTAGGCTCCGTGACCCCATCACTCCCACCCTCGCCCGACTCCGCTGGCTCCCCATCCCCCAGAGGATCGAATTCAAGATCCTGGTCTTTACTTTCAAGGCCATTCATTTAATGTCAAGGCCCCCTCCTACCTCTCCGACCTGCTGACTCCCTACCAACCTCCGTTCGGCGGGCTCAGGGCTGCTCCATGTCTCCCGCCCGACCCGCCCTCCCATCGGTGGCCGGGCTTTCAACTTCTCTGCCCCCACACTCTGGAACTCCGTCCCATGGTTCCTTTGCCTCGCTTCCTCCATTGCCTCCTTCAAGGCCGGTCTCAAGATCCTCCTCTTCCCTCATCCCTACCCCACCCCACCCCCATGCTCGGGTCCTGACCCCTAACTGTCCAGCGCCTTGAGATGTCCTCCCAACGTGAAAGGCGTTCTATAAATATAATTTTATTACTGTTGTTTCTCTCTCTCCTACCCTCCCTCCATCCATCCCACTCTCCATTCCTCCATCCCTCCTTCCCTCCCTCCATCCCCCTTTTCTTCCCTCCCTTTATCCCTCCGTCCCTTCCTCCTTCCCTCCCTCCATCCCTTCGTCCTCTCTCTCATCCCCCGACCCTCCTTCCCTCCTCCATCCCTTCGTCCTCTCTCCATCCCCCGACCCTTCTTCCCTCCATCCCTTCGTCCCTCTCTCCATTCCCCCGACCCTTTTCCCTCCCTCCCTTGCTCCCTCCAACCTTCCCTCTTTCGGTCTCTACCTCCCTCCATACCTCTCGCCCTTCCTCAAAAATTACTGTGAGAAGCCTGAGAACCAACTAATTGTTGTTGTGCAACAACAACAAATTACACTTATATAGTGCCCTCCACACAGGGCAGCATCTCAGAGCGCTTAACAATAACGGAGCCTGACTCCGAGCCAGAGTGGGGGAGGTGGCCATAAGCACGGTCGAACAGGAAGGTTTTCAGGCGGTACATGAAAAAGGGGAGAGAGGGGGCAAGGCGGAGGGATTGAGGGACAGTGTTCCAGAATTTCGGGGCGTAGTGGCTGAAAGTGCAACCTCCAATGGTGGGGTGGAGGGTGCGAGGGACGAGCAGGAGGTTGGTGCCAGTCGAGCGGAGGCGCCGGGTGGTGGATTGGGCAGTGAGGAGGTCGGAGAGGCAGGGAGGTGCCAGGGAGTGCAGGGATTTGAACATGAGTGTGAGGATCTTGAAGTCGA